TTTTCACTCGCTCATGTTAAGTGCTTATACAAATTATATTGAAAACATTTTAAAGTGTCGATCATACATTTCAAACTTATTAATTTGTTTATCATCGTTAATATCTATTAATTACATTGTTAATAATTTTATAGATATATTTGACATGAAAACACAAAGACAAATACAATATGATAGGGATAAATATGCTAAAATGTCTGCTGAGGAAAAGAAAAGAAAAACGGAAGCCATTATTCTTGCTAGAAAAAGAAGAAAGCAATTATCAGATCTTGAAATTGCATGTTTGCCATCATCATCGCATTCAACAGGTAAGTTTCTTATAATTATTTAATCATTACATATATTTATAGATATTAAATTTAAAAGTATGATATTTTCTAAAAACAGATTCTGAAGTATCAAATATGAAAGATGTGATTATAGAATATGATTTAAGTATGTCAGAAATGCATGTTCTTTAGGAACCACATATATGTTCCTATTGTAATGCAAAGAAATTCCATTATGAGCCACCAACATTTTGTTGTTATAATGGAACGATTTTGCTTGCACCGACAAATGTCCCTGAGCAACTTTATGAATTATTCACATCGACTTCATCTGAATCGAAAGAATTCAGAGCCAAGATCAGGGGATATAACACTATATTCGCATTCACATCTTTTGGAGCTCATATTGATAAAGATTTAGCAAATTCAAGATAAGGGATTTACACATTTAGAGCTCATGGACAAATTTATCATAGTCTACCACCAATTGCAAAAGGATCAAATGGCCCATGTTTTTTTCAATTATATATTTATGATACTGATGCTGAAGCAAATAATAGAATGGATGTTATTGAAGACTTGAATCTTTCAGAAGAATTGGTGAATAAATTGATGGATATACTTTTTCAAAATCCTTACACGCAATTCTTCATATCTTTGAATAATAGAGAATTATTGGAAAATTTTGAAATAAGCATTACATCTGATATACGATTAGATCAAAGAGTTTATAATTCTCCTACTATGTCACAAGTAGCAGCAATATGGATTGAAGGAAACAATACAACATGTGTAGCAGAACGTGATATCATTTTGACTTCACATTCTGGCACATATCGAAAGATCAAACATTATTTTGGATGTTATGATCCTTTATAATATCCTATTCTATTCCCAAATGGAGAAGGTTGATGGCATCAAAATATCAATCGAACTTCTAAATTTCAAAGAAGTAATGATTATGTGCCTATCCAAATAATGTCTCAATCTGCAACGGAGGATGAGTTATTCATCCAAGAAGAACATGGTAATTTAATATATTATTTTTTTAATAATTTTTCCAATTATATTATATTACCAAATGTTAAAATACTTTTTTTATTATTTTATAGGCATTCAGAAGCCATCAAAGGAAAGAATTTCATGCAGAGAATATTATAGTTACAAGCTTCAAATTCGAGAAAAATACTAAATCAATTATTTTAAATGCTGGTAGATTATTGCATCAATATGTTGTTGACATGTATGTGAAGATTGAAATAAGTCGACTGGATTTTTATAGAAAAAATCAACATACAAATCATATCAGAATTATATAAAGGAATTATTAATAGTGGGACAGCTGGTGAAACATTAAGCAATAATGTCGGTCAAAAAATTATACTTTCACCCTCATTTATTGGAGGACCTCGTGATATGAGACGTAGATATTTGGACTCAATGGCTCTTATCCAACATTTTGAAAAACCTGATTTGTTCATAACAATTATATGCAATCATGATTGGCAAGAAATTCAGAATGAGTTAAAACCAGGGAAATCCGCACAAGATAGGCCAGACTTAACTACATGTATTTTTAGAGCTAAACTACAAGATTTAAAGGACCAGTTATTTAAAAAATCTTTTTTTGGAGGTGTGGCTGCTCATGCATATGTTATAGAATTTCAAAAAAGAGGTCTTCCACATACAGATTTTTTACTTATTTTGAAGATTGGATTTAAGATATCAACTCCGGTGCAATTTGATAGAAATGTGTTTGCAGAATTGTCAGATCCATCGAAGTTTAAGAGACTGCATAAATTAGTTGTGAAACATATGATGCATGGTCCATGTGGAACATTAAACAAAAATAATCCTTGTATGAAGAAAGGATTATGCAAGAATAAATATCCTAGATCTTTCTCATCTCAGACAATAATTGGTGATGACTCATATCCAATTTATCGCAGAAGAAATGATGGTCAACAAGTAAAAGTGAGAAAATATATTCTAGATAATCGTTGAGTAGTTCCTTATAACCCATATTTATTATCAAGATATAATTGTCATATAAATGTTGAGATATGTTCTGGTATCAAGGCAGTGAAATACATTTACAAATACATCTACAAGGGACATGACAAAATTTCAGTATCATTTTCACAACAGAATACACAGAATAATTTTGATGAGATTCAACATTATCAAGATGGAAGATGGGTATCTGCACCAGAAGCATTATGGAGAATATTTGAATTTGATTTAAATGAGATGTATCCATCAGTATGTAACTTACAATTACATTTAGAGGAGAAACAAATTATTTACTACAAAGACAATAAGAATTTATTGGACATATTAAAAACAAATATTGGAAAAAAACAATGTTGACATAATTCTTCAATCTCAACAAAATAGATTCAGAGGCAAGAAATTATCTATACAGAGAAATTCCAGAAAAATATGTGTGGGATAAAATTAAAAAAAATTGGAAGAGAAGACAAAAATACGAGCAAATAGGTCATATTAATACAACAAATCCAACCGACAGTGAAAGATATTATTTGAGAATTTCGCTAAATCATGTATATGGACCTGCATCATTTTCTGATTTATTACACGTTAATGGAATACAATGTTTAACGTTTAAAGAAGCTGCAGAGAAACATGATTTGTTAGAAATGGATAATTATATATCAGAGTGTTTAAATGATGCATCTGTTTATCAAATGTCATATGCATTCAGACAATTATTTGTTGTTATTCTTATTTACTGTGAGCTAACTAATGTTCGTCAATTATGGATTGATTACTACAAAGATTTATCTCATGATTACCAAAAAAATAGTTTGCTTACTGATGAAGAATGCATGATAAAAACATTATTAGATATCAAACTACATCTTGAAAGAATGGGGAAATCACTTGATGAATTTGATTTGCCAAAAATGCCAAGTTTAGAAATCGACTCTACTGGAATTCATGATGAGCTTTATGATAAAGAAATAATGGAGGAGCTAAATGTGGTTACTACTACTAAAGATATAGACAGTATTAATTGCCTCAATGTTTCTCAGAGGAGTGCCTATGATGAAATTATCAATCGTATTAATAAAAAGCAAAATGGCATATTTTTTATTGATGGTCCTGGAGGTACAGGAAAAACATATTTATATCGTGCTATACTTACAACTTTAAGAAGTTATGTTCATATAGCATTAGCAACAGCTACATCAGGAGTAGCAGCATCAATCCTGCCTGGTGGTCGAACAGCTCATTCAAGGTTTAAAATTCCTATAAATTCGACGAAAACTAGCATGTGTGCAATTACTAAGCAAAGTGGTCTTGCTCAGTTATTGATTAAATCAAGTATTATAATTAGGGATGAAGCACCTATGGTCAAACGTACATCAATAGAATCTTTAGATAGAACTCTAAGAGATATTATGAATAACTCTAACTATTTTGGTGGTAAAGTTGTAGTATTTGAAGGTGAGTTTCGACAAGTATTACCAGTGGTAAGGCGTGCATCTAGATTGGAAACGATTAACTATAGCTTGGTAAAATCATACTTATGGTCAGACATGGAGGTTTTCAGATTAAAGGAAAATATGAGAGCAAGAACAGATCCTCTATTTTGTGAATTCATACGTAGAATTGGAAACATAGATGAAGAATAAACTGAAGATGGATTAGTGCATATTCTAGATGATATGATTATAGAATATTCAAATGATAAGAATTCTGAAGATTTATTAATAAACATAATATTTCCTTGTCTAAAACAAAATGGTGCATCTTCAGAATATATTATGGAAAGAGCTATACTAGCAACCAAAAATGAGTTTGTTGATAAACTTAATAAAAAACTTATTATGTGTTTCCCTTGAGAAGAGTTTGTTTATTTCAGTTTTGAAAGTGTTACTGATGATACATCAAATTTTTATCAAGTTGAATTTCTTAACTCATTGATACCAAATGGACTACCTCCTCATCGCCTTCTTCTGAAGAAAAATTGTCCAATAATGTTATTAAGAAATTTAGATCCATCAAATGGTTTGTGTAATGGGACACGATTGATTTGCAAATTATTTATGCCCAATTTTATAATTGCTGAAATTTATACCGGGCAATTCTCTAGAAAAACTGTTATGATACCTCGGATTCCATTATGTACAAGTGACGAAGAATCTATACCATTCAAATTTAAGAGGAATCAATTTTCTATACGATTATGTTTTGCAATGACAATCAATAAGTCACAAGGTCAAACAATTGCCAATGTTGGGATTTATCTTCCATATCATGTTTTTTCACATGGACAATTATATGTAGCATTATCAATAGGCATTTCAATGAGACAAACAAAAGTGCTTATTATACCATATATATATGCTTCAATTCAAGGTCCTTATACAAAAAATATTGTATATAAAGAGATTTTCAAATCTTCAGAATAATCAACAGGTACTCTCATCCAAATTTTTAATTATTTGTTATACTTTCATATATTTTCTATTAAATATATTTTATAATAAATTTTTTATTAATTTTTGTTTATTAAGTTTAATTTTTTTAATGTTAGATAAAGATCAATGGAGTCATCAACTCTGATCAAGAATTTAACTCTGCATCAACATTTTTGGACAATTATTGTTGTTTTAACTAAAATGGATGTTGTAAGAAATTTTAAATCTGGACAGAAAAAACTCAGAAACTTACTTTCATGGATAGTGAGGTAATTCTCTTTTTCAATATTTTACTCTAATTATAAATACTAATATGGTTGAATTTTTTCATATTTTTTGTTTCATTAAATTTTATTATATATTAATTTTGTTCTTATTTTATGTAGGGGTCGCAGATTTATGCTATTATGTTCAATGAAATAATAGACAAATTTCAAAATATATTAAAGATCGGGCAAACTTATATGATTTCAAATGGATAGATTAAAGATATAAATAAAACTTTTTACAATGTTCATGAAAAATTTGAAATCATATTAAATAATCTTTTAGAAATACATGTTGCTGTGAATCATAATATACAATCATTGCATAAAAAAATTATCGACCATTGAAGAGATCACGTCAAATCCAAATCTACCATCAGGTATGTAAAGTATTTCTTAAATTTAAAATAAATTTATTTATTGTTATTTTTAATGATATAATTGATTTATGTTTATTTATTTTTACACAGATATAATTTTATTAGTTTTAAAAGTTTATGAAACAAGGACAATATACAGACAAAGGGATAAAAAGAAAATTCTTAAGCGAAACTTACAAGTTATTGGATTGAGGTATATAAATTTATTAGTACTCCTATTTTTTATTTTTTTTGAAATAATTTTTATGTTGTAGGTCTGAAATAGTAACTTTAACTTTATGAGAATCACTAGCAATAAAAGAAGGAAAGCAATTAGAAGATATGGTGAATGAAAAACCCATCATTTTTGTGAAGGGAGTTGTTGGAAAAAATTTCAATGGTACGTCTATCTTATATGTATTATATTTAAATATTACATCACTCTAACATCAATTGCATATTTAAATATCAGGTTTTACGCTGTCATCAACAATGTCAACAATTATAGAAATCAATCCAGATTTGCCAGCAATAAAAGAATTGGTGGATTGGTATCATTTTAGTTATTTATAAATTTTTATTTATATTTATTTTTTTAATAAAGTTTTTCTTAATTAATAATTAACTCTATAGGTTCAATGAGGTTGGTTTTCAGCATGCATCATCAAATTTTAAAGTTTATGTGATGGCAGATTTATTCAAAATCACAACTTCAGAACTTTTAACAGCAGAGGTAATATTTGTATTAATTTTTTTAAAAAAATTTATTTTAATTTTTTTAAATTAATCTTTCAGATGAAATACTATGCTACCAATGTTATAATAAAAGGTTTACAACAACAAGAAAATATATGGTATCCCTCTTGTAATATATGTAAATCAAAGGTTACTATTAATGAAGATGTTGTGCGCTGTGCTAAATGCTCTAAAGAAAATATTGATTATAGTTTGAGGTAATGATTTCTTATATTTTTGTTTGAATTTAAAAATTGTTAAAATTCTTACTAATTTATTTGTTCATAACTTGTATAGATATCTTCTCAAATTATATGTTGAAGATGAAACTTCAAATGCAATTTTCACGCAATTTGATAGTGAAGTAGAAAGTATTATTGGTGTGCTAGTTTCGGAATTAGAAAATATAAAGGTAATTATATGTTGTACTATTTTATTTAGATTAAATTTTATTTATTGATTTATTTTTGTAGGTGACAAGCATCGAAGAATATAATAAAATAATCAAGAATTCTTGCGACAAGGAGATGACCTTCATAATTAAGGCTCAAGACAAAATTTGTGGCAATCGAACTTTCCTTTCGCTAACAGTTCAATCAATAAAAAAAGACTCTCAAGAAATTAAACATGGCATATAAAAAAAAAATCAAATTAGAGGAAAATTAAATAAAACTAATTATGAACATTAGTTTGCGAACTCTTTTATCTTCATACTCATGTTTTATATACATCGTTTTATTTGTCTTAAATATACTTATAAGAAGTTTTAAATTTGTTTTTGAAGTTGTTTAATTTTATATCTTTATTTTGTATTTTATGTTTGCCTTATGTTTAGTAAAAATTGTGTTGATGATTTTTTTTTGTGATATCATGCTTGAGATAACATTATACAAAAAGTTTTTGAAACCGTCAATGCCGCTCGCAAGCGCGGATGAAAAAGGTTGAGGGTTTATTTTTGTTACAATAAAACTACTTTCACAACTTCTCTGGATCCTCACAAGATTATAATTTCTCCTTGAACATCTTGAGCACTGCAACCATGCTATCACAGAAACAAATAAAGATTATATATGAAAAGGAAATGAATAGTTCAATAAAACTTTACGAACTTCTTAAACCAACATGCTTAGAGTCACGGTCATACTTGGCAATAACAAGGATGGGTCGAGTATGCAGATTGTAAAGTGTCCACTTTTAATCATACAAAAGTTAGAATGCCTACGTAGAATATTTTTCCTTAACCTTTATAAATATATCATGATTATTTCTTTTGTTGACGGCTTCAGGGAAATGAAAGCAAAAGCATTTTGCATATTGGCAAGCAAGCATTTTCATGTGTGGAGCTGTTCCATTAAGTGGAAGGACTTTCTAGAATTATAAATGCATCGAATAATACTTATGTGCTCTTTATTTGATTTCAACTTTAAGTTTCATTTGTTATTTTTGGTCTACTCTCAATTTTAGTTGAATTCATTTCCATCGTTTATTGCACGTGCCATGTTATGATCTTCTTTTACACCTACATCCTCATCATTAGTAGTATATTCATTATCTTTAGAATTTTTACTATATCAGTTTCAATTTTGGGATTACTTAATGTATTTTTTTATTGATTAGATTATGGTTGGATAAATACTTTTAAATTGGACATTTGTTGATGTCTATATGTAGAAGGTGGTGCCTGAAACAATAGAAAAATACATTATATTCTTAATATAATGATTAATTTTTTCTTTTATTTCTTGTCACGTTTCTTTAAGCTTCATCTAGAGTTGTAGGAGATTTACTTTTAACCTATTTATAATATCAAATTACTTTGTAAATCTTTTATCTTTGTTCTCATACTTTATATGCATTGTTTATTTTTATTTTAAAAATATTTATAAGAAGTTTTAAATTTGTTTATTGAAGATTTTTTTATATTTATTTTGTATCTTTTTGCCTTATGTCTACTAAAATTTGCATTTATATTTTTATTTTTTGATATGATGCTTGAGATAATATCATATAAAAAAAATTTTAAAACCGCCTATGCCGGTCCCAAGCCCGGATGAAAAAGGTTGAGGGTTTATTTTTGTCTCATTGCTCTTTAGAATATTAGGTTATAGACTTGGAACTGTATAAAAATATTCATGCTTGTGAAAATAACTGATATTGATTCAATGCCCTACTATTTATTCGATTAGCAGATTTTCGCATAAATGCAATAAGCTACTTGTTATAAACTCTATGTAGACTTAATGTGTACTTGTAGATAATTGGAGTGGAGCCTTCTGAAACTAGTTTCAATTCTGGGACAGTCCAGGTAGTAATAAGAGTCAATGCACTTCTCATAAGTTGCTTGCAAGCTCTTTTCTTTATTTTGTTTAGATATAATTTGCAATCTCTTCTCTGTATTTAAGTTGAGATGTATTTTGCAGGTTATATACCAAGTATTATAAACGATGTGGTCACTGTCAAAAGAAACTTTCAGATTTCATTATAAGAGTTTATACATTTATCCAATTTATGCAATGGTACAATGGCATAGATAGAAATTTCATTTTTTAGATTCACAATTACTATGCCTACTTTTATAAGGTACATTGTGTGCTTAATTTTTTTCAAACTTCTCCCATTTTATTGTTTGTTTGAGAATAATGACAAAATATTCTAAAGTATGTAAAACCCTTAATATTTTCTTAGCTGAATATTCTATCCTTCGATCATGAAGTTTTAGCATGGTTATGGAGTACTAGCTCTTGACTGATCTTTTTTTTTTTTTTAATTTTTTTAGCTCTTGACTGATGATTTCTTAAAACTTTGAATCCGTTATAGGATAGTCATGAACTTGTCATTATAGCTGCCGCCTTAGCTTATGGGATGTTTCTATTGAGTTGACAAAATATGATTTTCGTTGTTGGTAGGAAATAAATTTTTTTGAAGGTGGTTTGATGTTTGGAATTGTTATTAATGAAGGTATCTTGGATTGTAGAATATTTCAATAGACCAATTCTTTACCTAACTTCTGTTTGGAATCTGTTCTTAATGAGGACGATCTTCAATAGTCATTCTCTACACTTTAAAAAGCTTATAAAGTAGGTTTGATCTGAATTATATCAATTGAGCAAGATGCTTAATCCTGAAAGCAGATGATTCGAATAAAATCTATAAATATAAAGTTGCATGGGTATATTTCATCCTCATAACTTTTATTCAGAATATACATTTGTTATATTCAGCTTTAACAAGGGAGACTCGGTTATATTTTCATAATTTTATGTGAATTCGTTTATTCCATTAGCATCCCTATATATATATATTTTTTTAGCATCCCTCCTATTGATTCGACATAAAAAACCATGCATTGACACAATGGCTATACTTTCATCTTTTCAGCTTCTCCTTTATTTATTCCATTAGCATCCCTCCATATGCATAGCTCTTCAAAACCTTTCCCAAATAAAAAAAAAATCACAATGGTTTCATGAAAGAATATATTTATTTATTTTTATTTTTTTAAAGAAAAATTATATATAGAATCATTGGAGACATTGCATGCAATCATACCACCGAAACACTTCAATTGGAGTATGATAATTACATCAGTATATCTTGGCATCTTTGATTATAATCTAGAGTTTGATTTTCTAAGATTGCAAATTACCGGCTGAAATTTATAGATAATCTTTCTGTTCCACTATGTCTTACTAAAATTTATGTGTGCTTGCTTTTTTTTCTCCAAGTGGGCTGCACATTTTATTTCCTCCCACCTGTTGGATTCATTGACAATTGAATTATATTTTTCACTAGGTTTTTTCATGATGTTTATTCATATATATATTCATCAGTTTTTCAATTTATCACAATTTTACCATGGTGTAATTTAACCTGCATTGATATTTTCATTGTCTATTATGCTTAATTGGCAAATGGAAGAGTGACTCAAAACATCTATTATTCTCTCACACAATGTGGAGGTGGACATGTATATTGTTTTACTTACTTTTGGATACACCTACTAAACTGTTATTTTCATTGTGTTCTTCGACCTCACAGGCGTTAAAATTTCACTAATTTTGAGAGGAAGCAGCAAAAAATCTTCACATCAAGTCAGCCATTTTGATTATGATTTTGACACGACTATTTATTATTATCATGAATTTTCGATGCCAATACTACTACTTTTTATTTTAGACATCTTATGATCTAATTGCCTTGATAATGGAATCAACTGATCATTACTAGCAAAGTCTAGCTGTTTGTTTCATATTGTTGCATATATATAAATATGATCTCTTTTTTTATTTTTAATATAAAAAGCTGTAATCATTTTAATAGTGATTTGCTCATGGCAAAATAGGATTTGGTGAGAGGATGAGCTTGTGTTATAACATGAATTGACAAATGGATCTTATTTATTTGTTTAGTTAATACAATAAATTAATAATGATAGATTTCTTCTATATTGAAGTGATAAATTCTTGTGCATTAATCTTTTGTTGTAGATTTTTTTGTAATTTGAAAAAAATGATATATTTTGAAGAAAAGGAAGAAGATTATTTTTTTATCCACTATTTTAATCAAAGTTAAGAAAATTTAAGTAACCAGCTATAAATCTATATTATCTTTTTAAAAATATTTACCCATCAATTCTTCTGCACAAAGTTAAAAATATATACTTAAAATTTTTATTCATGTTCATTTAATGCACGTGTATCTAATGCTCACGTGAATTTTAATTTTTATTCTAAATATGAATGAATTATTTTTATGTTATTAATTCTACAGAGAAAAAATATGTATTTTAGTATTGAATTATAAAATTATATTAATATATTTTCTATATGATAATTTAAAAAAAAAAACATATAATTAAAAAAAAAAAACATATAAATTCTCATCAGCATAATTAACAATTAGAATTGTTTAAAGGGATAAAATTAATAACTTTATTTTTTAATAAAAATATAATTAAAATTTTCATAACATAAATTTTTATTTTTAAAACTTTATTTGCATGAATTTAATATCACTATTAATTAGGCAACCACAAATTTTATTAATTTTTTTCATACATAAATTTCATCTTCTTATAATATATATTTATTAAATTCTAGCAACGTGCACGGGCAATAAAACTAGTCATTAAAAATTTATGTTGATCGGACACGAATCTCAAAGCAAAATCAAGATGTAAATTTCAAAAATTAAATTGGAGATCATTTAAATTCTAGTTTCAATGAACTTATAGTCGAACTGAACGTCTTGGAAATATGTACCCAACGACACCAAATAGGACTCAATCCGAGCCCAAATGAGTCCAAATCAAAGACCCGAATCACATTTAAAATCTTCAAACCATAATTTGGATTACTAAATGGTTTTCAAACATTACATGCTTATAGTCGAATCGAGCGGCTCGACAAGATGAATCTAACGAGCTTAAGATCTCTAAATTTTGATATCATTAAGACATTCAAATACCAAATAAACGGTCTATGATCAAGAGAATCCACATCGGTTGTCCATTTAAAACATCGGACCTTGACCCATCTTCAGATTTCTAACTGTCGCCATATATCTGTCGGGCTTACATTTATCGCCGATTTTTACCCAACGTCGGGCTTCTACCTGTCATGAGACTTTTGTCACACTTCTATCTGACGTCGAACTTCTGCCCACCATCGGACTTCTATCCATCATGAGACTTCTATTTGATGATGGACTTCCGCCCGTCCTCGGACTTTTGCCAATTTTCAGACTTTTATCGGACTTCTATCCGATGTTGGACTTCTACCTGCCGTTGAATTTCTACCAAACGTCGGACTTTCATCCGTAGTCGGACTTCTGCCTATCGCTGGACTTTTGCCATACTTTTAACCAACCCCGGACTTTTGCCTGTCACTGGACTTCTATCTATTGGCGGACTTCTGTCGGACTTCTATCTTACGTCGAACTTACGTCCATTATGAACTTCTGCCTGACATCAGACTTTTGCCCATCACTGGACTTTCATCAGAATTTTACTCGACACCGAACTTCTGCCGACCATCGAACTTTTGTCCATTGCCGGACTTCTACTTGACACTTGACTTCCGTCCATCATCAGACTTTTACCAATTATTATACTTTCGTCGGACTTCTACCTGATATCGAACTTCCGCCCATTATCAGATTTCTACCAGATGCCGGACTTTTGTCAGACTTCTACTCGGCGTCGGACTTTCGCCCGTCACCAAACTTCCACCCATCGGTGGACTTCCTTCGGACTTCTATGTGATGCTGGACTTCTGGCAATCGTTAAATGTTTGCCTAATGTTGGACTTCTGCCTATCGTCGGACTTTCGACATCCGTTGTCAGTCGACTATGGTCCTTCCGACCCCCTTCGTTCATTACAATCCTTTCGACCTCAACCGCCTTACAACGGTCTTCTCAACCTCTGTCTGCCCACCAACAACGATCCTTTCTACCTCTGTCGCCCATTGACTACGGGTCTTCCGAACTCCATCGCCAAACAACGATCTTTTCAGAGAATCGTAGTATAGTTAAAGTCTCTAAATAGTATTCTAAATAATCTCTAATAATTTGTTTATATTCTGAAATTGTGAATTTATGCACTGTAGTATATTAAGCTCCCTGTCAATAAGACATTTTGGTAATTTCTGAGATAAGCTTATTTATATTCTTGTTATTGCAATACAATGAATTATGTATTGATCTAATTGAATTGGGTGATGAGTTCTGGTGTGGATGGAGGAAGTTTCGTTCTAATACTAAATACACATTTTGATGCCAAAGGCATATTCAGGTGCTATATACATATATACTTTTTCCTGTTGCTAGACATTGAGAACCAACATTCTGTTTGTTGGGAGACATAAGGGTTAAAATTTTCTAAATTATGTTTGTTAGAGGGCATAAAGGTCATAATTCTTTAAATTTCATCTGATATGAAGTATTTATTTATTTATTTTTCCAACATTATTATTTAAATTTTTAATAATTATAATTAATATTATGCTCAGCACAATGATTTATTACATGCTTTTAGCACTCAATTAAATGTTTAATAGCATATTTATTTGAAAATTTAGATTGATAAATGTGGCATGATGAGCTATTTTAGCTCACAATTATTTTGCCTTCTAATTTTTAGGATGTGATCCGAGGTATTAGCAAATTCATATTAGAGAAAAAGTTACGAACTAGGATTTGGATCAATATATAATCTAACATTAAGCACTACTTTGATTGATATAAAATTCATAACACTACTTAAAGCAATCACGATTCTACACTCTTTGAACTTATATATGTCATATATGTTAAATATATTCTTTTGCCTCCAATAATCTAAACTAGTCTTGATTATTGGTGAGGATGCTACAGTAAGCTTATCATCATATAATGGGATCTCAAATATAATTTCCTCAATTTTGTCTTTGCTGGTGATATCATTCTCAATCTCATCCATCAATACACTTTAAGACTTATAATTATTTTACATGTGCCACTTCTAGTTGCAACTAAAGCACATAATATCTTTAATTCCTAGTTGTTGTGATTATGGGGAATTTATGAGTAGAACTAGTTGTTGGTGTAGCTACTATAAATGTGCTTTTGTAGAAGTTATTCAAGATGAAATGCATCATTTAGAGTCCAAGTATTATGAAGCTCAGCCTTATTCCTAATAGAAGTTATGATTAGGGGTGTCAAATTATGACACGATCCGAAACACGACCCGATCCCGACCTGGAAAAATTTGGGTTCGGGTCGACCCAGATAGCAAACGGGTCATGTTCGGGTTCAAAAATCTGACCCGATTTGAGTTTCGGGTCGAGTTTGGGTTGACCCGAAAATTGTTCTACCTGTACGAGCTGCCCGGCGTGCCCGCCCTGCCCGCGAAATGATCCGACACTGCGAGCCTACGATGCATCGAGTCGCTTAGCGCATCAATCTGTCACTTCGTTAGACGTCACGCGGCTCGCGCCAGTTCGCCTCCTAGGAGGTCGTCGCTGCTGCAGCCCGGCCGTGGCGTGGCCGCTCGCCGCCCTATCAACCGCTGTTGTCACCGCTCACGACAGTTCTTCCTCCTTCGGCGACGGGAGATCCTTATCTTCCTCAGACGATGTTCTTTCCTGTAAAATCGAAAGTCGGGACAGCCGACCAACTCGCCACCTCACCGAAACTAGAAGTAGCGATGGGAGCTCGACGACGTTCCTTCATGTCGAATCGGAAAATCGTGTTGTGCGGGTTGACCCGAACCTGAATCAGGTCGGGTTCGGGTCCTAAAACCTGACCCGCTTTTTAAAAATGGGTCGGGTTCAGGTTGACCCGAATAGTGTCGGGTCAGTTCCGGATTCGACCCGAACCTGACCCGTTGACCCGAATTGACACCCCTAGCTATGATACATGTAATAAACTTAATGGCTAGTTCCTAATAAAGTGTAAGTGCAATTGGTATTAGTAATAAGGTCCTTATAAGTATTCTAATAACCAACCATATATAGGCTCTATAGCCTTAAGGTTATAATTTGAATGTGAAGTTTCTTATCAAGATTCTTTTGACAATACTTCACTCTTAACTTATCCTTCATTTCTAATAATGTTCGAGTTGTCTTACCCAACCTTCATTCATTTGTTAGCACATTGTTCAAGTAGATTTTGACATGTCTTATAAATTTCATCTTAGGAAAAGCTACTATATCATAATCACCCAAACCACTCCATTGAAATAATTCATCTAATTTGGTAAGTAATTAATAAACTTATTGAGATCAAGAATGTAATTATATATAGTTTCCTTCAACTTAACAATCTTAAACAATTTATGTATAAAATAGTGTTGAATATTCTGTGTAAAGGAGAACTTATTCTGTGCGGAGGTCTTGCGCAGCTCTATGTTGGGAGGCGAATCAGGTGCAGCCACATAAGCGATATTGAATAGTATCGAGCCGCGGTACCAAGCGAAGGGATGACGTGACTAATATCAATACAAATAATTTTTCCAATGGTGTTTGATGTGGCCACAAAATAATTTTTCAGTTTTTCTTATGTGAAGGCTATACTAATATCAATACAAATTTAAAATTTTAAATTTTTTAATATAAAATATGCTTCTCTCTCTCTCTCTATATATATATATATTGGAAAAAATAGTTATAATATCCTCAGCTTTCGGATTTCGTTAGCTCCTTCGATCCAGTAACGGAAATTTGTTTGCAGACTTCAGATCAACTTTACGTCCTCTCCATTTCCTCCGTAGGAGAAAGCTTCTTTATTGTCCTCCCCAATCCTCAGCCAAATCCTGTTTTTGTCCCCTTCCTTTCTTGTTCAAACCCTTACATTTTCAGAACTTAGGAATCGATCGTCTCTTCCATAATCGGAAGGAAATCGTTGTTCATGCGTTTCTTGGTCTCTGCCAATTGCATGTTTTCTTGTTCGGAACTTAGGGACCGAATATTTAGTTGTTTGATACTTTTGTAGTGGGAGTTTCTGAGGGCCGCTACGGAGATCTGGTTCTAGGGTTTCGATTGTGGCCGCCATGGGTGTGGACTACTACAACATTCTGAAGGTTAATAGGAATGCCACCAATGAAGACCTGAGGAAGGCGTATCGGAGGCTAGCGATGCTTTGGCATCCCGATAAGCACCGAGGTGATAAGCAAATCGCTGAAGCGAGGTTCAAGGAGATCTCTGAGGCCTATGATGTGAGTCGTCCTCCGATCTCTTTCCACCGATTTATTTCTTGGCTTCTTTCTCGATGATTAGAAAAATCTGTTGTGTTACTTTCTTTCCTTTTTTTTGGTTTCTGTTTTTTTATATTTTTATATTTTTTATTTTTTTATTGGTTGTGCTTTTCAGATGTTAGCATTGATGGCTCCTGTGGAGTTTGGATTGTACGCTTATTACCTAATTTCAGATAATTTTTTTCTCTTAGTTTCCCGAGGGTTAGCTTCTCACTTTCTGTGATGGTGATGTTTCATATGTTCCAGATTCAATCTGTGGACTGCATTCTGACTAATGTTTTGGTTTTTTCTATATGTATTCTTTATTATTCTTTTGTCCTTGTTGCGGATGCTAATGTAGGCTTTTCTGCAAATTGAATCGAGGTTTTCCTAGCTTCATTTTAAATTTCCCTGCATAAAGTGCTTTCGTTTTGAATTGGGAGATTCATCAAAGAGTTTATGGTATTCAAGTGGAATGAATGGAGTAAGAAGATTCCTTTATTCAGCTGCTAATATTTATAAAAAGACTAATGATAATTAAATGTTGAATTTTTTCTGATTTTGGGTTAGTCTTCTTAGATGGTGCCTACACTTGGAATTACTTGGTGTAACTTTGCAAGAATTGATTTCTACTTTGACAAAAGCATATTTCAGTGATATCCTACAATACCACAATGTTCACTTATCAATAGTTACATTTTGCACCCCTTATATTTTAGGTCTTAAATGATCCGCAAAAGAGAGCAATATATGATGAAAATGGAGAAGAGGGCTTGAAGGGGACGGCACCTTCTGGTTCTCGAAGAGCAACTTCATACTCCGCAGCTTCACGTGGTCAAAATAATTTTCAATTCAATGCTAGGAGTGCAGAGGACATTTTTGCTGAGGCCTTTCAGAATGAAATTGATTCAGAGTACATGCCACGTTCAAAGCCCACTAGACTTCAAACAGAAGGAACAAATAGTCAGGGTGTCAATGTTGGAGCTGCAAGCAAGGCTCAGAAAGCACCAGCAATTGAGAGAAAACTTGTATGCAGCCTTGAAGAACTATACAAAGGATCTACAAGAAAAATCAAGATATCTAGGAATGTCATAATATCTAATGGGTACATCTTTGATTCACCTTTATTCTTAGTTTCTATATTGTCCAGTATCTCATATTTACTCAAGTTATCTCTTGATAATGATTGAATATTGCATTTTGAATTATATTCTCTCTTCAACAATGTTATGCTGGGGAGTTATTAATTTTGAGAGCTTCTTTATTATTCATTTGATTTCTGCTTCTTGTAACTTGCACTTGCATTATTTGCCAACTATATGTCTATTCACAAGTTTATTGAGTTCTATCTTTATCTTTAATGCACCCAAGTTATTAGATTGATTTACTACAGCAGAGAAAACATTAGGGCCTTAGGAGCTTAATAGCCCTTTACAAATAAAAGAATGTTAAACAAAAGGAAAACAGATATAAACACACTTATAACACATCCAATCCCTTACTGCTAATTATTGGGCTTCCATAAGACCCCTGGGTCATTTACCGGTGCTCCCCTTGGACCATCTATTCTTATAATATAAAAAAAAATAAAATAAATACGAGTAGCAATTGTTAGATGCAGGGACTAACAAGCTCTTTTTGCAATGCATGCTTAGCGTTAGGTGTTAGATTACAACAACAACTAGTTGTGGTTCTGAAAATTGGCGTTCGACTCTATTGAGAATACACGTTTTTGGTGAAGTTTTCAGAAAGCAGATTAGATTGCTGATAAAACACTACTTATATATTTTACCTTTATTTTGTGAGGATTTTATGATTTGATTCTAGTTTCCCATAAACACAATCACATATGATTATTACCCCACCAGATGACCAAAGAAAACTTTCAATTAAGGCTAGTATTCGATGCTAAATTCTAAGAGTATATAGTATCATCAATTTTGATTATGATTGCAAAAATGGATCACCTCTAGCTTAAAGTAGATGGTTAGTGGGATGATGACTAACTTGATCAATATCTCATGATTTAGTCATCTTGAATTGTTATGGATCTTGATCTACGTGGTTAGCGAATGTAGTCAATATAAAAATTCTGAAAATTTATATGGAGGGTATTTTTATTATGAAATCCTAAATTCTATTAAGATATTGAATGAGTTGATAAGAAATATTTTGGTACCAATCTCTAAGAACAAATGAGGTGTGTATTTGTTGTGGTAAATAAGTAATTATAGAAAATCAAATTTTCAAGTCATACAATAAAATACAGGAGATGATGATATAAACTTAGCTTATAAAAATCACATCAATTTTTTAATAAATTAACTTTATGTCAAAAAAATCCACTATGATGGTTATTTTTTGTGATAGGATAATCAATGAAAAAAATATAAATAGCAATGCAAGGATCTTTATATAGTTTTGTTGATCTTGAAAATATATTTAATGGCTATCATGAGAATTGATTTGTTGGGTATTAAAGAGAATGATCATGTGAAAGGCATATTTAAACATTTTTGGGAATCAATGAGTTTTAATGTAGGATAATTTTTCATTTTTAGACAATATGATTTTGATAAGTGGGGTCATTTTTAGATTAAGTGAAACAAGGGAAATTTTGTCGAAGATTTTATAAGCAGAACAAAATTTGAGTACATAATATGCTATTTTAATGAAAGTAAAACTATAAAATAGATGTTTATTAGTAAACATTGCTAGAAGATAAGGTAATAATTAGTTATCAGGGTTTTAAATATTGTTTATCTATAATACAAAAGAATGGAGTAAAGATGAGGACATATATTTAAGAGTTAAAGTTGAGGGTTGAAATCAAGGAGGTTCTTATGAGTATAATTAATATCATGGAGAGTTTAAAAGCTAAAGTTTACAAATTTGTAATTTAATTGCTATGCTATAATGAATCTAGTTTTGTGCAAAATTCATCCATAACCAAGTTGGGATTGTTAGAAATGAGGACATTAAGAAAATGTATGTGAAAATTAGAAGAATGGAGTGAAAAATGATTAGATTGAAAATAAATGGAGAAGCGCTTATTAAATATGTGATAGTAGAAAACAGACCGTTGCTTGTGTTTTAAGTTGAGGCCAGAATATGCAAGATAAAGTTTAGATTTCCAGAAATTGTGTAATAAGACGCAAATAATCACACCTTTCTTAGCACTCAACTTGAATGAATGGAGGATTAAAGCGGTAGGCAATGATGATGTTGCATCCAAAATGGAGCCTTCTTCCGAACGTTTTTTAACTAAAATCTGCATATTTTTTTGTTGGGCACAAAACAATATGAGAAGGAAAATCACTATGCTTAGGGATTGCCGTCAAAGCTTAGGTAAGTATGCTTAGGTGGACACACTGCACAAGATTATGCATAAGGTGGAGATGCGAGGCAGGGAAAATATTTGGATAGAAGAGTAATTACTACAAGTAGCAATATCGGTCTTACTAATGGTGCTATCTGTGGACTAGTGAAGTTGACTTCTCTGTATGAGTTTGGCAATGACTCCTTGCTCCTGGCAAATCTTTTGAGTGATACGGAAGAGGTCCTATCATTTTATAGCTGATAACTACAACTGCTGACTCAGGGAGGAAATCTAGAAATATCACTCTATTCTTCTCTGGTTTCCCTCAGGCATTAGTGCCTTTTCAAACCCAACACATGCGTTCTTGTGTTGTTAGTAGGTATATGCATCCTTGTGTTTCCAAATCTAAAGGTTTAGTTCTGTAATTTGTGTACGATAACATGACTTTAAATCTTGGCAGGCAGCTGTATGTATTTTTCTTAATATCTGTCTGCAGCATACATGGTTGGATTTCCAAACAATTTATAACTAATAGGCTTAAGTTCGGGAATGCTGGTCTTATCTATTCATATGAATTAATCTGACTGAAATCTTTTCTGACCTACAAGTGTTTGCCCTGTGGATGTCTGCGAGCAACTGAGCATACCTGCATTGATTTGCAAACAGTTGGTTTGGTGGGCTTGAGTGCTGGAATGTTTATGGTTGTCGCTTCGGTGCCATATATGCTTGTGTTTGATCATGCCTTTCATGGCCATTCTGTCCAAGTAAGGCTGCATCCTGATAGGAAATACTTGAGTTCGCAAGTAACCCTAAGGGAATACTTGAGTTCACAAGCAAACCTATCACTAATTGGATGAAATCAGCGAGAAAATAATCAAAATTTGGGCGAAAACAATCCCAAAACAGTAGATTGCACTAAGGAAGTAAAACAAAACACACACAAAAAGAAAGATACAAGTGATCCTCTATTTGAGAGGAGGATCGTTCTCTCCCAATCTCTAGACGCAAGGTCTAGAGCCCTCAAACCTCACAAGACTCCAAGAGAAACTCCAATCTAAGCATGTCTAGCCCTAACCCCTTCATGCCCTTTAAATAGCTCTCTCCACCTCCTTAAAAACTTTCTAATATAAGATAGTATTTAATTAATTCAAAAGATATCAAATCTTTTCAAATTAATTAAATCCACTTTTCTAATATAAGATATTATTTAATTAATTCAAAAGATATCAAATCTTTTTAATTAATTAAATCCTCTTTCCAAATATAAGATATCATTTAATTAATTCAAAAGATATCAAATCTTTTTAATTAATTAAATCCAAACAAATTGGGCGTGGGCCCCTCCCTTACGCGGTGTAAGAAGGAGGCGGTTTGACCCGCCTCCTGTATACAAGTGCCGTCCTATCAATACCGCCCTCCCAAAGAATCACCTTGTCCTCAAGGTGAAAACTAGGAAACTGCTGTTTCACCTTCTCGTACGGCTCCTACGTGGCGTTGTAGTCCGGCATATTCTTCCACTTGATCAACACTTCTTTCGCTCCCTCTTCTTTCTGACAAACCCCTATCAACTCTAAGGGTTCCATAATCACCTCTAAATCATCCGTAAGTGTGGCCGGTAATTTCGAGCTGGCTGTATAATCCCCAATGGCTCTTCTCAGTTGTGGTACATGAAAAACCGGATGAATAGTCGCCGTGGGTGGTAGTTTCAGCCGATATGCCATTGCTCCGATTTTTTCCAATATTTCATAAGGTCCAAAGTATCTTGGAGCGAGCTTTTCATTTCTCTTGTTGGCCACTGTCTTCTGCCGGTATGGTCGGAGCTTTAAGAATACTTTCTCTCCTGCTTCGAACTGGATGTCCTTCCTATGCCGATCAGCTTGTTTCTTCATAATTTATTGAGCTCTCAGTAGATGTCTCTTTAATTCTTCTAACACTCGATCCCTTTCTGCCAAGTACTCCTCTACTGAAGAAGCTGAAGTACTGTTACTCCCTAAGTGCACCAAGTGAGGGTGGTCCCTTCCGTACAACACCTTGAATGGAGTCATTTGTGAAGCCGAGTGAAAAGAGGTGTTGTACCAGTACTCTGCCCAAGACAGCCCACTTGGCCCAAAGTTTGGGTGTCTCTGACACAAAACACTCAAATAGGTCTCCAAGCTCCTATTGACCACCACTGTTTGGCCATCTGTCTGTGGGTGGTAAGCGGTGCTCCTCTTTAGAACTGTCCCTTGTAACCTGAACAATTCCCTCAAAAATTGACTGAGGAACACCTTATCTCTGTTTGACACGTTGCAATTTGAACACCTCTCTAATGAATGCTGAAGCCACTGTTACTGCGGTGTAAGGATGTCAAAGGGGGATGAAATGAGCATACTTGCTCAATCTATCCATCACCACCAAGATCACTGTGAAGCCTTCTGAACGGGGCAGCCCATCTATGAAATCCATAGATATCTCCTCCCAGACTCATCCCGGTAGTGCCAACGGCTGTAGTAGCCCCCCTGGTGACATAGCCAAATACTTGTTCCTCTGATAGATTTCACACCTTGCCACCATCTCCTCTGTATCTCTATGCATTCCCTTCCAGTAAAGCTCGGCCGCTAGTCTCTTGTAGGTTCTCTGCACCCCTGAATGGCCCACAACTGCGTTTCCATGAAATTCCTATAGTAAATTTGGGATGTGGATCGAGGTACGGGGCATCACAAATCTTCCCCGGTACAACAGTCTGTCTCCCTCTAATGAGTACCCTGGATGGCCACCCTCATCTTTCAGCAAATCTGACCTGATCC